AAAGTTTTCTGACCCCAATTCTTTTCCCATTGGTTTTTCCCTAACGACGGAATCAGGTCGTTACAGAAAGCCTCTACTTATGCTAAAAAAAATTACATTACTTGTCACAAATTATAGTTTGGACTTGTGACCTTTTTGTTTTTAAAAATGATTTGCTTGTTATTTAATTATATACAGTTAATAACACTATTTTTGTTTCTTTTTGTTTTCGAGTCGCTTCAAATGAATCAAATATTATTTTTTCCTTTTTATGTATTTGGCTTTATGCATGTCAGTGTATATGTTCTCAAATAATTAAACAAAAAAAAGTTCATTAAAGAATTCTTCTCAAAAGGTAATATTTTCTATTCTCTCTTTTCAAATTTGAATTGAATATGGTGTTTAATGTGACATGCATGTCAACTAAAAGAGAATCATTTTCTTTTTGTTATTATATTTTGAGGAAGAAAAAAATAATTGAGTGATTTTATAGTTTTAAAAAATCAAATATGATTTTAATTAATAGACAATTTTCTAAATGTAAATGACTATATTAAGTAAATTAACTCAATCATAACATTACTTGTCTATAATCTTTGTAGAGAGGCAAGACTCAAGAGTCTACACAAATAGAAAAAACATTATTCATTTGCTCTTATAGATAAATAATTGATTTGTATAGTTTTGAATATATAAATTTAATTATTTTTTAATTTTAATTAGTTTATTCTTATAATCCTTTTTAATCAGTTTCATAAAGAATGTTTTTTTCTTTTTCGATCTTTTATTTGACTTTTTCATATGGTATATTAATTAAAATTGTATTTTAGTAAATTATACATATCTTTAATTTATGGCTATATACATGATTTATTTATTTACTTTATTAAAATTCTTATTAAGTTAAAGTTAAAAAAAGAAAAAAGTTATTTTGGATCAGGTCAACTTAATATAAATTTAATCCAATGCAAGTGTTTTAATGCAAGTAGATAAAAAATAAAAAGTGGCATCTCTCAATAGCAAAAGATCCTATTTATCTTTTTTTGTGATTTTTTTTGACATTTTTTTCCAACTATTTTATTTTATAAAATCATCTTCTTAATCCATACCTCTTCAATTACATAAATTTAAATCTTAATTAATTTAGTAATGTTTATAACTCCTAACCTTTCATATTCATAACCTTCAAATTATTTAATATACAAATTTACACTCCTTAAAATGACACTTATAAAAACCTATTTTGAGACATGTATAATAATTACCACAATAATATTTTAATAATAGGAACAATTGTATTAGTGTTGTAGAAAATTATTCAACTCTTGGTACTTTTTCTTCATCTTCAACATTGGATACACGTATTCTTTCTTAAAAATTATTTATTCTCACTACTGCTAATCTCTATACGATTAAATTATGTGATTTATTTTATTTTATTTTTATTGTAAAAGTAAAACCTCAACAACAGTGTTTCACTATAGCAACTTAATTAATTCTCTCTTCTCGCAATGTAAACTATAAGAATGAAAGTTTAAATATATATTTTTTAATATTAATGGATCTTATGCGACACAAATATGTAGTAAATAAATGCCAATACGAGCATCAGATATCAAAAACAATTCTCTAACTTTTGAATCTCGGGCATAAATATGTTCGAGTATAATTCAAGTATTTTTTCCTCACCATTATTTACCACAAATATATTTTGATTTATTTTATTATTATTATTATAGAGCCATTTATAAAAAAAATCCACATAATTTATGATCGAGTAGATTTAGTATTGTTGTTTGAACCAATAACATTACTATAAGAATCATTGAATTTAGTATGCAACTATGATAATTAGATTGTTACTTAACTGAAGCTTTTCATATCAATTTTTATGTTTTCGTCTTTTTATCAGCAATTTTAAATTGAAAATGCAGCATGAGATTTTTTAGCAATTTTTCTGAATAGATAATATCAGAATCATAACTTAATTTGTATATCTCTCTTTTATTATATCAGTTATTAATTATTTTAAAATATATTTAATATCTTTTTATATTCGCGCGAAGCGCGGACAAGTACACTAGTGATAAATAATAAAAAAAGAAAAAAATATAATTTTATAAATAAAAAAATAGAATAGAAAACAATATGACTTGACGGTTGATAAAAGAAACAATTAACAAAGGATAATAATTATAATACATGTAGGAATTTTATATTAAAAAAAATTAATCAACTACACACGCAAATTTGTTTGTGTTTTATGCGATTGCAAAGTAACCTGTAAATTCATAAAAAGAAATTATTATAGATTTAATAAAGACTGAAGAATAAATTTGATGTATATGCATCAAAAGAATAAATATTTGCTTAAACAAAATTTGACTCATTGCATAAGTCGCTCCTATTCTTACTGAGTATGTTATTGTTCTTCTTCTTGCATAAGGTGCTATCAGCGTAATATGTTCTCTGAATATACTACATATAGTGTCTTTATCATCATCTACAACAAAAGTTCAAATAAGATTAGCATAAGAAAAAATAAATAAATAAATCCTAAAAATCTATCAATAAATTAAACAACATACAGCATATATAACAAAAGTTCTAATGATATTAACAAAAGAAAAAGAAAAAAAAACTTAAAATTCATCAACAAACTACATACAAAATAAAAAGAAACATATTCCAACAAAGGAATACATAAAGTTAAAATGAACTTTAAGAATTCTGGCATCTTAAGCCTATTGAGCCAAACATTTTAATTTAATGTCATTTCTCTCCAAAGAAAAAAAAGAAGGCATTGAATATTTTAATTTAATGTAAAATTGAATTTTTTGGGGATTATGAATATAAAAGGATTGAAAGTTATGAATATTATTAATACTAAGTAAAAGTATAATTTATGAAGATGAAGAAGTGTGAGTTATGAAAATAACTTTTAAATATAATGTAGTTGAGAAAAATCATATATCATATATATAAAAGAGAATCTTAGGTCCGCCTATGTGGTACCACCATAAACCAGAATTCCCTTTTAATTTATTTTCAAAACTAGTCTTTCCCTTTTATGAAAAGTTGTGACATTTATGAAAAGTTGCGACTTTAATGAAGAGTTACGACGTTTATGAAAAGTTGTGACTTTTATGAAAAGCTGCGACTTTTTATGAAAAGTTGCGGCTTTAATGAAGAGTTGCGACTTTTATGAACAATTGTGACTTTTATGAAAGGTTGTGACATTTCCGAAGGGTTGCAACTTTTCCAAATAGTTGTAACATTTTCGATAAGGCACAATAAACATTTGTTTACACTATCCTTTGTTGTTTCCTCTCATTTTAAAACAGCGAAAATTCTGAACCACTTCTTCTTCTTCACAATTAAATATTTGTGTACTTTGCTCCTGTTATGTGGCTCACTAACACCATTGCTTATGTTACAGATCCTGATATGTATTTTTACAGTCATTAATTTATGCTTATGTTATTAATGATAAGATGTAATAATTTTCATTTTCCGTTACATTATTAATGTTTGTTACTACGTAATCTTCTATGTAAGATAATATAATATTTTGATTTTAATGACTAATAGTTTTTAAGTATTATTTTATAAATTTCGTGATATTAAATTTCCGCGCGAATCGCGGTAATTTTACTAGTTCCAAAAAAAGGAGAAAAAAAGAAAAATGACAATAGAGGCCATAGAGAGCGCCACATCACCGTTTTGTCATTCTCCTTTATTATTATACTAGTAAAATTACCCGCGTTTCGCGCGAAAATTTAGTATCACGGAATTTATAAAATAATACTTAAAACATATCAGTCATTAAAACTAAAACACTATATTATCTTACATACAAGATTACATAGTAACAAACATTAATAATGTAAAGGAAAATGAAAATTATTACATCTTATCATTTAACCTTAATAACATAAGCATAAATTATAAGTTAATGATTGTAAAAATACATACCAGGATCTGTAACATAAGCAATAGTGTCAGTGAGCCACTCAACATGAACAAAGTATACAAATATTTAATTGTGAAGAAGAAGAAGAGGAGGTTCAGAATTTTCGTTACGTTAAAATGAAGGGAAATTCCTCTATTTATAGACAACAAATGATAGTGTGAACAAATGTTTCTTGTGCCTTATCAAAAATGTTACAACTATTTGAAAAAGTTGCAATCCTTCGAAAAGGTCACAACCTTTCATAAAACTCATAACTTTTCATAAAAGTCGCAACTCTTCATTAAAGTCGCAATTTTTCATAAAAATCACAACTCTTCGTTGTCACAATTTTTCTTTAAAGTCGCAACTTTTCATTAAAGTCACAACTTTTCATGAAAGGGAAGACTAATTTTGTAAATAAATAATAATTCTAATTTGTGGTGGCGCCACGTATGCGGGCCTAAGGCTCTCTTTTATATATATATATATAAAAAAATATATATATATATATATATGATATATATAGATTGTTTTCATCTCCTAGATTTCTTATCTTATTTTGTTTTAGTTTTACAACAATTACTAATATATCATGATTTGTATTTCCCGAATTGGCATACACGTGCGGCCCAACTAGTATATAGAATGGGTGGTTAACGACCAAATTCATTGTAACACAATTATAATAATTTATTTATGCAAAAAGAGGCTTCCTGAGGATGGAACAAAAAAGTGACAATAACTATTAAGTGCATTAGCCGTCAATGGAGTTCGTTTTGTCGCAGCGATTTGTCCCTTTAGATGAAACCCAATCTCAATTGTTCGTTTTATTAACTTGAGACTCCGCATATCAAGGCTCTCTGTCTCTCTTCTCCAAGTGTTTATAGACACATTATGTGCATGTTTTCAGAAGCCAAATGAAACTTTCATAGTGAAAGACCTTCATAACCATAAGGAGAGATGATGTAATGAAATGTGTCGAATAAAAAGTTCTTGATGCAGATGCATTGTATCTAAATGGGTTTTTGACTGATAAATATAGTATTTTCAATTATGATTAGTAACAAGATAGTAAGAACAGTCTGAGGATTTACAGAACCGCAAAATTGATGTGTCTCTTATCACACATTAGTCATAACACAACTCTGCCTGGTGATATGCCTCACCATTTCTTTCTGTCTAACAGAAAAGCCAGAAATACAGGTGGATTGCAGTAGGACACTGGGGCCTTCTGCGCTAACTTAGCTACTTCATGCAAAACAATGCTATACGAAAACCGACAGCCAAAACCAAAAACAACACATCTCCAATCTGGGAGACAAAATGAGGGTTTTCTATTACAAGTCTACAGGACATTTACAAAGTCGCATAGCTCTTACGGACATTCACCCGCCAGAGCTACACAACTGAAAGCACGAGTGCATGAAACTGAGGGAAAAAGAGATAGTGAATAATGTAATGACGAAAAGACAGCCAAAAGTCAACCCTGACACGGTTTGCTGAAAAAATAACCAAATACAAACAAGAGTAAGCAAGTTAGCTCACAGTTCAAGTAGAGAATTTCCAGGGCTATGTTGGTTGATCAGACCTCAGCTATCTCGACCAAAAACTGGAAAATATACATCAAAAGAAGCTCGGCAATGGTAAAGAACCAAAATCAATAGCTTCATCTTCATCGACTAGAGCGTTGATAAAAGATAGGACCAGACTGCATGGAAGAAATCATTTTGATCAGAAAAGAAAAACAAAGGCCCTTTTAAGTAGCATGCATGTTAAAGTCAACAAAAATATCAGCAAGGAATACAAGGCTTATAAATGTTGTGCCTGCAGTATTTTATACTACTCAATATGCCCATCCTTTTGTGTAGCAGGGTATAATCAAACTTTTTTCTTAAGAATTAAGATGACACCCATTCCTTCCATACTTGACAGGACTTTGCACAAAGAGAACATCATGAAAGTGCATTTGCTATTGAAATCATGTCAAAAACAACTGTCATCTATTCTGTTCAGAAATTTGATGCAAATCTTAAAATTTGAATTAGAACTATGCTATGCAATAATTTACATACCAATGACCACATAGCGACTTCATACTTTGCTTCATAAAAGGATTCAGAAAAGCATACAAAAGAGGAGAGCTTTTATAGCTGGGATTTCATCTCTACAGGTAACTTTATACGTGCTCCTACCATTCTCTGAATGAGTTCTTAGTTGAACAAATAAATATGAACCCTGAATATTTTCTTACTTATTTCTCTCTCTTTCATATATATAACTTTTAACCCTCTATTTTGCTGTCATTTGTCAACTAGTTGTACCTGCAATTGTATCCATTCATGTATAGAACAAGTAGGGATCCAATGTACTGTCATAACCAACTTATAAAGCATACAGTTATGTATCTCCACCCCCTCCTCCCCCCTCCTATATATATATATATATATTAGTAATCTTCATTCCAGAACATTGGGGTCAGCGGAATGAATCTCAATATCATAAATATTCTCATTGGGTCCATATTATTTCAATACTCGGCACTGATGGATTATCTAAAACTTTCTTTTCTATTATATATATATATACATATCAATGGCGGAGCCAGAAATTTTATCAAGGGTGTTCAAGAATAAATTTTTTTTATAAGTGAGTTGAATGTTATTTGTTTAACCTAGCGATTGTACCATGAACGATTCCAACAGTTATTACTATCAAATACAAACAATCAAGTTTTTTTTCCCTAATGCATTGATTTTATATAATCAAAAATATATGAATTATAGTGTGTAAAGTGAATTACTCACCATCAAATATTTTTTTTCTTAAAAAAAGAAAGAAGATAAAACATATGTATCAATTTTAGCTTTGGGTTTAAAGTTGTTAATATATATAAGCACAAATTTTTAATGTAAAATATTATCCATTTTGTTTTTTTCACCCTTCGAAAGTGCATTATATGTTAGATAAAATTAGAAATACAAAATATATATATAATAACAAATTTCAAAATCAGAATAATTTATTCATATATGTTAGTGTTACTCTATATTATTAAAAAAAATAAAAATTGATAAAGTAAAGTTTACTTTATATTATTAAAATTGCAATATTAAGAATTAAGGAACTTGAGGAACATTTAAGAATTTCAAGTAAATTAAAATTAATAAATATATTTGTTTGATGCAAGAATAATGGTGCGAGTACAAGTGTAAGGTTGTGACCTGCTCTCAAAAGAAACAAAAACTGTTATGCACTCGGCAAGATTTGAACCCGAGAACTGGAAACAAATACCCTTAACCATTGCGCCAAAGGAAGAGCTTATGTAAAGGGTGTTCAACATTAAATATATATCCCTTAAACTTAGAATTTGACCTATATACATAGTGAAATTTTCTGGCGAAAAGTGTTCAACTGACCACCCTTAGAAGGCTGTAGCTCGGGCACTGATATTTACTAATGGCCTAACCCATTGGTGGCCCACTAAAGTTGACACTAATTTTCACTTAGACACTCCAACTATACTTTGTTCATTTTATACACCTCATGTGATGTCCCGCTGTGTCATTTTGACACTTTTTGCTGACATGACATAGTGAGTGATATACTCCTTACCAGCGCGTGGAGAGCTTATATTTAACCTATTTTTATTTTATTTTTGTCTTCTTCTTCCCCATTTTAGCCACCATTTTTCAAAACTTAAACTCCTTCCATGGAGAAATAGATCTAATAGTGCTACAACACCAACAGATTTCAAGCTTAAACAACTTTTCTTATTTTGTTGCCATTCTTCCTCCTTGAAATGTTTTGAAAAAAATCGAAATATATTTTTTTTAAAGAAAATCTAGGAAATTCTTTTAGGGAACTCTTTGTTTAGATTTGAATAATTTGGTTTTATTCGAAGTTATAAGTAAGACGAATCAGTGTTTGCAAAGAAATTGTGCTTTTGGAAAATAATTCTTTTCAAATAGTTAAATTACTATGAAAGTATATTGGAGAAAGACAATCTGGATTGGGGAGAGGTTGGGGGTTGGGGGTGGGAGGTGGTGGAGAAGATGCATTGAGTGTGGGAGGGGTAGGGGTTGTGGACTGTGGAGAAGACAATCTGGTGGGGAGGGGTTGAGGATCAGGGGTGGGGAGTAGTGGAGAAGACAACATAGGATGGGCTTGTAAGTGGTTAATTTTTAAAAAAATATTATTTGGATAAAAATTGCCACGTGTCATTGAGTCATTGACCTTTTTTTTAAAACTCAAAATTCATTATTTAAAATTATTTTCAATATATATGCCACATGTCTTTGTTTAATTCGTCATTTTGACACGTCATCGGCGAGTGTGTTATACATGCCTTACATATTTGGCTGATTATAAAAAAAGTGTCAAAATGACGCACCAAAACATGACATGAGGTGTCTAAAATGACAAAGCCTAGTTGAGGTGTCGAAGTGAAAGTTAGTGCCAACTTTAGGGGGCCACCGATGGGTTAGACCTTTACTAATACTAGAACAGCGAATGTTTGAGGAGCTTAGGGTCAATCGATCAATTGACCGATATGTCCTCCTCAAATTTCCTCTATTTTATGTATTTAAAAATTAACAAAAAATATTACTATAAATTACAATAATTAGTATTTTTTTATTATTTTCTTTTTTAGTAAATTATGAATTTAAAAATTATTAAAAAATAGTATCATAAATCACAATAATTAACAACTTAAAATATTTTACTATGTATTAGAAGAGCGAACGTTTGAGGAGCTTAGGGTCAGTCGGTCAATTGACCGATTTGCCCTTTTCCTCTATTTTATGTATTTAAAAATTAACAAAAATTAGTACGATAAATTACAATATTTAGTATTTTTCTGTTTATTTTCTTTTTTATTGTATATTATGCATTTAAAAATTATTAAAAAATAGTATTATAAATCACAATAATTAAAACTTAATTTTTTTTAAAAATATATTAAAAATTTGATGAACTTTCAAAATTTCACTCAAGTCACATAAATTGAACCAGAGGGGGTAACATATATTACTTGAAAATTATGTTGACTAAAATATTTAAAAATGTATACTAAAAAATTGATTAACTCTAAAAATTTCACATGTGCCACATAAGTGACAATAATTAACAACTTAAAATATTTAAACAAATATATTAAAAATTGATTAACTCTCAAAACATGACATGTGTTATAGATATTATTTAAAAAGTAAGTTAAAAATATTATAGAAATAATTAACAACAAAAGTTATTTAAAAATTTAGTTGACTCTCCTAATTCTATCTATGTCACATATATTAAAACAAATAAAGTAATATATATAGGGCCCGGGCTTTCCCAGGCTTTTGTATCTAGTATTTTACTATGCTTCAATCCCAAACATTGAGGTCAACAGATTGAATCCTAATATCATAAATGTTCTCTTTGGGTCCATATTATGTCAATACTCAGCACTTGAGGATTATCTAACAATAGGGAATCTCTAATATATTCTAGTGGTTATATCTTTAATATGCTAAGAATCTTTTATTCTACTAAGAATGAGTATTCTAGTTGGTCTCACATATACAAATTTCCGACTACCATTGTTTTCTATCTTTTGCAAGATCTATCGGGATTTTGAGTATTCCATATCTTTTGAGATATCTTCATTTCATGTGATTTTATATCTGTTTCTTCCTAATTTTAACACCTTTGATCATCATGTTTTCACATCTAAAAATTGATGTATGTAACACACGACAAAACCATCTCAAGCGATGTTCTCTTATATTATCCTCTACTTTCACTTTCTTGCAGATGTAATCATTTATGATCTTGTATGACTGCACATCTATCTTGACATTCGCATTTACGTGACACACATCTCGTGGATATATTGAGCTTCAACACTCTCATACACCATTGATGGCCCTATAGTTGTCCTATACAACTTATCTTTCACTTTCACTTTGGTACATATCTTTCCTATTGCATAACACTCTCATGGCACTCCTCCCTTTCAACTATCCTACATTAATCCTATGCTTCACATCTCTATCCATCATTCCATTCTCCTAGAATATTGAGCCTAAATATCTAGTTTATATACATTTAGGTACCTCAATACATCCAATCTCAACTAAACTTTTCTTACTTTGTTGGCAAACCATACAATGCATGAATTTTATCTTACTTCATTGAAACCCTTATTAGTTTCATCGGTTAAACAAGGTTGTCAATAAAGAGCATACACCATGGTACCTCATCATGTATATTATTGGTTAGCTAATCCATAACAAGAGAAAATAGATTGGGGCTTAGCATAGTTTCAAGGTGAAAACCCAGGGTTGTGAGGAATTCCTTTGTGTCTCTTACCACCGTTCTTACACTAGTGACAAATATAAATTCTTTTCCTTTTCAATACCCGCCAAAGGACGCTTTTTGACACTATCATATGACTTCTCTAAGTCAATAAATTTCATGAGTAGGTCCTTTTTCTACCTATAAATTCCATCAATCTTCTCCATAACATATAGCCTCTTATAGACATACCAGGCACAAAACTAAATTGGTTCTCTATCACCCTTGTAGTGGGCCTAAGTCTCTGCTCTATTATTCATTCGCATAGTTCTGTTGTATGGATCATAAGTTTAACCCCCGATAGTTAGCAAAACTTTTTGTACCTCATGTGTTCTTGTACATGGGAACCAAAGTGTTTTTCCATCGCTTAATTGGCAATTTGGCATCTTTCCGCCCCCAAGGCCTAGCTCAAGTGGCAAAAGGTGGAGGATTTGTGGCTTAAGTCGCAGGTTCAAGCCCCACACCATGCAAAGCGAAGCCCGGTATTTAAGTGGAGAAGGGTAGAGGGGCGGGCCCATTATCCACTGAGTTTAGAAGGCTGTGATTGGTCCAAAGGCCGGGTAATAGACGGATTTCTCGGTTATAAAAAAAAAAAAAAAATTGGCATCTTTCCACACATCAATGTAGCATTAAATGGTTTGGTAAGGCATTTTACTCTTTTATATCTGGGGCATTCCAGACACCTGTATGGTAACCATCTGGTCCACAATCTTCTTTAACTTTCATAGATTTCATGGAGTCCTCTACTGCATGAGTGTAATTCTACTACTACAGTTAAAGTTCTTGTCTAGCATGAAATAAAAAATTTCATGGCTTGAGTTGAATGATTGATCAAAATAGGCTCTCTACTCTTTTTTATCTCACTATCTCTGGATAAGATTCCAAGACTCGTCCCAATGCACTTAACATGGTTCAAATCTTTACCCTTCTCTTTCGTCCATGCTAGTTTACACATTTCTTTCTCTCCGTCTTGTGTCCCTAATTCTTAGTACAAGCCATCGGGAGCTTTTAGTATACATTAGCCTAGCATGCGGTATTTTAGTATCTTCAATGGAATACTGTATTTGTACAATAGTTAGTTATTTTTACTTTATGCACTTTTAGTCAATTTTATAATTAAAGATATACTTTCTATCGTAAAAATGATGAATTTTTTAAAGTAAATACCAATAGATTTGAAGAGGATAAAGTATGTCATTTGCAATACAAATTTTACATGAAATATTTTGGGATAAACGTGCAACACACATTCACAGAACTAGTATACATATGTATGTATGTATACACATACAACAACATACGAGTGTGGTCTCACAAATGTGTTAGCACACCTTACCCCCTACCTTTGTGGGGGTAGAGAGGTTATTTCAGATAGACCTCGGCTCAAGAAAAATCATTTTCCAATACAGGTTTGAGAAAAAAATGCAAGAGTAAATGAACAGTGGTGAAATTATTGAAGAAAGAAAAATATTGACAACAAAAATAGTAAAGATAACCAAAGTAACAACAACAGTAATCAAATTGAAGAAATAAGATAATACTAGCATAATAATAATAATAATCATAAGGGAGCAGATAGGTGCTCCCACCTAGAACCAAGTTCTACCACTAAGAAGAGAGAAATCGCGAGACTACCTACTAACCATCTACCCTAAGCAAAAATACCTAAGTATCCCTAAAACAATCAGATCAAAAATTACAAAGGCCAACAAAAATACGAAATACAATTAAAAAAATAATTAAAGTAAAACGGTGGGTTATACAACATTTCAAAGTATGGTTTTCCTGTTTCTTTCAACTGCCCTTGCTAAGAGAATCTGAAACCATTTTTGAACAAACATTTTGCTCCACACCAATAACACAGTTTTCAATAAATAAACATTATCAGTCAGGTTACCTACAATATTTTCATTTTGCACTGATTGGATGATTATGGCCTCTTAACTGAACATGTGACATCATTTTGTAACTGTTCCACAAAACAGTTAGTCTACCATTTCTTTTCTCTAACCATCTGAAGCTCTAATATCCATTTCAACATCAATTTTCAAGTACTAACTTTCCAATCAAATCTACAATGTGCAAACACTTGCATTCCTTTTTGTAGTAGCTCTTAAGATACTGTTGATCACTCTAACTCATGCAGTGAATATTCAAGATTCCTTTTCAAAAAGAAAAGAAAAAAAAAGCATTCAAGATTCCATTTACTGTAGTTCAGATAGACAACTCTTGTCATCCCGTTAACTACAATTTGAATTGAAAAACATCAAGCTTAACCACGGAAACTGGAATTTTCTGTACCAAGGCCAAAACTTTTTACTCTGGACCTAAATATACAGATCATTACTAGGCTTGTTAGATGATATTATGATAAGATGGAGGTGGCTCCACAGGCTGTGTAGAAACTTTGATCAAACCACAGTGAGGGTCAAAGCATTTAACTATGGACGAAAAATTGGAACAAAGTTTAATGATAAGCACAACAATCATTACTGGACTTATCAGATGGTTAGATAGAGGCTCCATAAGCTGTGAAGAAACTTTGAGCAAGCTACAGCTGCACGATATTCTCAATGAATCAACCCTAAAGCTTATTCTATAATCTTTATTCTATTATTTCATTCCAGTAATTACTAATAGTAAAAAGTTCAACCGAAACAGAAAGCCTAAAATGGAGAGGAAACAAGAAAAGGAAATCACATCACATATGCATTCCTAATCTTCTTATGAGATAACAGAGCACATTATACTTTTCAGAATCAAAGGAAACACCTATCAGACCTAAGTACTGCCCAGAATTCAAGAACTGAGGACTGAATGTTAAAATCTCCAACAATGGATGGGAAAACTGATAGCAAAGTAGAGAATGTGTCCCTTCATTGGATATTCTATGTAGAAACAGCAATCAAACTACATATTAGCATATCTTGAGAGAAGATGTGGGCAAAATGAGGAAAACAACAGGATCAAGAGTTATAATAAAACCTGACAAGCACTAGCACGAAGAGGACCAAGTAGAAACCCAGCTTCAATATCCGAATCTTCTTCTCAGACTCAATGAACCTAAAAACTTCGGTCACGTCAATTAGATGCTGCCGGCTTAAGAATCTGCAATGCAATAACACCTCTCTTAGTTAAGATTTAAAGAAAGCATCTTTTGAAGACGAGAAATATGAACTTTTTAAATTGTAACATAGAACACTTTTTCCCGGGATGGACTAGACCCCCCCCCCCCCCCCACCAAGA